AAGTATCTGTACTTTTACTCAAGTATGGAAAGTGAGTACTTTTGCCATCTCTGCCAGTTCACCGCAGTTCTTCCAGCAGTCCACACTTTCTCTGCTCTCTTTTTCTCATGGTCTTCTCCTTCTTTCCCATCGCCCGGCTTGCCACAGGTTTGCCTGCTGTGTCTAAAAGTAGCAGCAGCAGCAACCCAGACTGACAGCTCGTTGGCTCATTTGGATCACGTGCAGCCTGGAGCTGGACGCTCCGCAGGGCTTTACCGTATTAACAGGAGAAGCGGCGCAAGTGACATTTAGACAGTGTCGTCGGACAACATGCAGTAATATATAAATGTTTTAAATCAGGTGGGTCCGGATCCGGACCGCGGTCCGCTAATCCGTGATCTCTGTCATAGACCAGCTTAAAAGTCCTGCATAACTGCGAAGTACAAGGAATAGCATGTCAGACTTATGATTTATGTAATTAAGTTTGATTTTACTCTCCAGGCTCTATTACTCTGATACGCTTAAATAAAATCCAATCTAGCCATCATTCATCTCAATATAAATCAAGCTTTTCTGTGAGGTAAAAGTAGCGTTACATGGAGCAAGGAACACAGCAGACATACTGGGTTATTTTCACAAGATTTAACATGGATGTTGATTTAAAAAGGACTCATACACACTGTCCAACTTGCAAGAGAATAATTATAATGATTATCAATGATTATAATAATAATGATTGGACTTTATTTATGTCACAATGGAGAAATTATCTCTGCATTTAACCCATCCCCTTTGGGAGGAGTGGGCTGCCATTGTGTGGCACCCGGGGAGCCGTGTAGGGTTAACGGTTTTGCTCAGGGACCCAGAGTGGAAGCTGTGGGGATCAAACTGGGTACTTGCAGCCTTCACAGAGCACAAGCGCTCTGCTATTTGCATCGTTTCGGTACAAAACCATTTATCAATAATGAAATAAATGTCTTCTGCTGCAAGCTGGTTATATACACAAGTCTTCCTTAAATTTTGATCCATTTTTTGTTTCTCTCTGTCAAATTATAGATGTTCGGATATTTATGCGGATTATAGATGCGGATTTTACAATATCATATTCATCTTTGAACACTCTTTATTCTATCTGATTACTGAAGATGCAAAGGTATGGCAGATACCCCTTACTGTAGGATACCTTAACATAAACATTTGTCATCCCACAACATGAAGCATTACTGAGAACCAGCCCAGCCAACAGGACATGATATTTCTGAACCAGTTGCAAGGATATCCTGCAAAAAAGATGAAAAAAGTAACACTGCACATCATCCTGAGTATATCATCATGCCAATGGTGAAGAATGTTTGTAGCAGCACTGAGCTGTGGGGATGCTTCTTCAGCAGAGACAAGGAAGCAGATAAGAATAAGCTCAATATTAAACAGCGCTGGACCAAATGCTGTTATGCAAGGAGAAGGAACCTAAACATATAGTCAATTACAAAGAAAAAGTTTGCATCAAAGCATTCTATGTGAAAGGTCTACTTCAGATCTAGACTCAAATTCAATAAAAAAAATTAAATAATAAAAACAACTTCTGCTATAAGATGCTTCCTCCTAATCTGACTAAGTCTGCACTGTTTTCCAAAGATTAATGGGAAAAATATGATCTCTAGATGATAAAAGTTGTTGGTTCAACAAGGAAACAGGGACTTGGTGTCAAATACAGGCCTACTTTGGATAAAATTCTGAAAAAAATGCATATATTTCCTACTGCAGGAATTAGGGCCACTGGAAATTATTTTAAAAAGTTAAATGATTTTTAATTTTATATAAGATTAATTGAGAGATTAAAGTCTGAATTCTGAGAAAAAAAGTCTGAATTCAGAGATTAAAGTCTGAATTCTGAGAAAAAAAGTCTGAATTCAGAGATTAAAGTCAGAATTCTGAGAAAAAAAAGTCAAAATTCTGAGAAAAAAGTCTCAAATGAAATGAAACATTTGTTAACTGTTATTTTTTCAGTGTCCCTTATCCTCTTCCACACATTTATTTTTACTTTACAATAAATATATATATTTTGCATTGGTCTATCACATAAAATCTGAACACCCTGAATTCAGCGTTTATATTTGGAAAACGTTCAGCGTTTTCCAAATGATTCTTCATCCCTCTTCCTTCCTTTTAGAACCACTGTTTGTCTTCATATGTGCTCTAAGGTAACAACTACCTGACATGCGAGATCGAGAACGGTGGATCACTGGGCAGCAAGAAGGGTGTCAACCTGCCCGGAGCTGCAGTCGACCTACCGGCTTTGTCGGAGAAGGACATTCAGGACCTGCAGTTTGGCCTGGAGCAGAACATCGACATGGTCTTCGCCTCTTTCATTCGTAAGGCTGCTGATGTCCACGCTGTGAGGAAGGTTCTGGGCGAGAAGGGAAAGGACATCAAAATCATCAGCAAGCTGGAGAACCATGAAGGTGTGCGCAGGTAAGGGAATTTATCTCTGTCCTATTACAGGTGCAGACAAAAAGGAAATCTTGGAATTACAAATTTTTATCTCATCCTTTTGACAGATTTGATGAGATCCTGGAGGCCAGCGACGGCATCATGGTTGCCCGTGGTGACCTGGGCATTGAGATCCCTACAGAAAAGGTCTTCATTGCCCAGAAGATGATGACTGGCAGGTGCAACAGGATCGGAAAGCCCATCGTCTGTGCCACACAGGTATGATTCTCTAGAACCTAAAGCCAAATATCTGTTTACAGAAGTGGAATGACAGAAAGTTTGCTTTGGCTCTAATTAAGATGCTTGAGAGCATGACCAAGAAACCCCGACCTACCCGCGCCGAGGCCAGTGATGTAGCCAACGCTGTGCTGGACGGCAACGACTGCATCATGCTGAGCGGTGAGACCGCCAAGGGAGACTACCCTCTGGAGGCTGTGCGCACGCAGCACATGGTAAGACTGGGTCACACATGTTAAATGTTTATTGCCTGAGAGAGGACAGCGACTTTACAGCATTAAAACAGTAGAACTGAAGTTTTATAACTCTAAGATAAAACAGATTATAGGTTTATTACACTATTAATGTCTTTGTTTGTTACAGATAGTGTTTATATGCATTGTATGAAAGGCAAGTCTCACACAATTTATGTTTATATATATTTTATAAGGGGTTGTTTATCACTGTAAAATAAAGAAAAGTTGGAAACAAACTTCAGCAACTTTTTAAATTTAGGACGTTAACTTAATCATTTAAGTTTTTCTTTTTTTTCTTTACCAGACGTTAAAGATATTGTGCAGGACTTTTTAAAAGACCCACCCTCTCCACTTTAAAAAAAAAAAAAAAATAAAATAAAAAAAAAAAAAAAAAAAAAAATCTAGATCCTCTCAAAAAAAAGAAGAATGAA